AGAAAAGAAAAAAATGAAACCTAGTTGGAAAAGAAAAAAATCGATAATGGCTAATGGTTGGAGAAGAAGAAAGAAGATTCGTTTAATGTCAAAGATATTGAGAATATAATTCAAAATTCAAAATAAATGATGTTAGAAAGAATAAACGTTATTTTAGCAAAAAATACTAACGTTATGTTTCATCCATAAATTTAGAAAATATTTAATATAATATAATAAATTCAAAACACAAAATAATTGTTATATCCAATATGCATGATTTAAAGAAAAGACAAATACATCAAAGAAAAATTTAAAAAACACAAAATGTGTACCTGGACACAATAAAATAAGAAAAATGAAGACTAAATTACTTAACAATATGAGTAATGTACTTTAAGGCTAAAAAATATTATTTGGTGTACTGCTCGACAATTTTCCTTTTTTTGTTTTTTGTAATGACGAACTTCTTTAAGTCAAAATCATTTTGGACTCATCCATGTGAGAGTAAAATTCTAAATACCTACAATCACTCGTAAATTACAGGTATCAGTTAAAATTAAGAGACACTATTAGGAATTGACGTCCAGATTTACAATTTGTCTAAGTCCAACTTCACATTGTTGGACTACCCGTGCGGGTTGAAAAGGAGAAAAGGAAGAATATTGCATCAAGATGTTGAGATAAAAATGGCAATGCTTTACAACTAAAACATAATTCAAAAAGTTACAATTGAAATACATATCATTCATTGGATAAATGGGTTCTATCAATTTTTTCAAATAAACAAACTTATCCAAGGAATGATATGCATTTAAATTGTAACTTTTTGAGTTACTTTTGAATTGTGTAGTATTTTCCAAAAAAATATGTCTAAATGTCTATGAAACGTACTTGGTAAAGGAAATCTCTCCATTTTTCCACGTGTCAATTTCACCCTTTTGACTTTTGCAATGGATTTACTATAAAAAATTTTGTGATTTATATGATATTTGGCAAATCGTCTTAAATTTATTATTAGAATTCTTCAAATCACTTACTTTTGGCAAGTATCACAATAATGAAGTTCAAATCACTTAAACTAAAATGTAAAATTTTCAGCTGCACGCTAATTTTACTAAGAAGCCAAAATGAATTCCAAGTATTTTTGGTAATAAAAACTGAAAGGGAAAACAAGGAATATATTCAATTTAAGATTTCTTTGAAAATAGGGCTCAATTTTTTGGATAGAAATAAGATAGGACTATATTGTTTTTTTACCTAAAAAATAATCATTGCGACAACTGCTAGAATATTATGGAACGATCTAAAAAGGTCATAGTTTATTCAAATTGCAATCAATTAGGCTATATAATCTTTGCTTGCGACATCTCCACCTATTCGGTTAGCGTCTTTCACTTAATGAATCACACATTTTTCAAAGCATTATTATTCTTGAGTGTAGGCTTGGTGATTCATGACATGTCGGATGAGCAACACATGTGAAAGATGGGGGGCTTGCCTTCTCGTTCCCTTTTACATATGTCATGATGCTCATAGACAGTTTATCTCTAATTAGATTTCCTTTTCCATCTAGATTTTATTTCAAAAATGTGATATTAGAGCTCGCTTATTTTGCTTGGAATTTTTGCTATATGCACTTGAAGTAAATATTGGCCGTAACGGTAACACTATGTTATTATTGTCACGTAGTGTCACCATTTAACGAAATAAAAGTATAAAAAGTAAACAAGTAGATCCCACATATTTTAATAACCATCTCTCTGTGCCATTTGGTAACCCGCCAAAGTCTAAAAATAATTATCAAGTGAAGTTCACCTTGTCCACTTTGGTAAGTTTTTTATTGGATAGTGATACTATATAGCGATGATAACGTATTATCACGGTTACGCCCAATATTTACTCATGCAAATGGGTGTTTATAGTGAGAGACAGGCCCAAGCCCGCTAAAGTAAGAATCAATAGGCCATTGCAAAGGAATCGAATTTGGTGAGAATGGGCCAGGCTGGCCTTGTTTATAGTCCATGTAAGCCCAATACATATATTCTCCATGTAAATTTAAACATTATCAACAACATTGGTTTTATGTAAATTTGAACTTTCACAACACTGTTGAGTTTACATAGTTTTGATCCTGTTAAAAAAATAAAAAAAGCTTTTGAATCTTAGCATAGCAAGTTTCAAGAAGCAGAAGGTTATCGCCAAATGTCTCTTCTATTACAAAGACCACTTGGTCGCGAAACTTATCTAGAAAATGTTTTTTATTTACATTCACGCCTTTTGGAAAGAGCCATTACATCAAGTTTTCGTTTAGGTCAAGGAAGTTTGACCACTTTATCAATAGTTGAAACTCAATTGGAAGATGTTTCGGTTTATATTTCTACTACTATAATTTTTATTATTGAAAGACAAATAATTCTTATCCTCCGATCTATTCAATACCGGAATCAGACCTAGTATTAATATGGGTATCTCGGTTTTCAAAGTGGGGTTTGTGGCTCAAGTTAAAGCCATGAAACAAGTAGTTGACAAATTAAAATTGGAATTGGTGCAATTTGCAGGATTAGAAGCCTTTGCACAATTTTCTTTATCTGCTATTGTGAAAAAATATTTTTCACATTTAAATAATTTTCACTATAAGGTATTTGTTATGATTTATATCTATCTATATATATATATATATTCTTTCCCCTGGCCGCCCGAAAGAGCTGCCAACCCAATTTCAAACCTTCAGCCTTTACCAAAAGGCCTCATTTCATGATAAAACCCATTCACTACCTCTCTCTAAATCTATGTGCACGCGAGAAAGGTCACGATGCACGGGAGCACCATTTAAAGTTATTTTAAGGAGTTGGTGACAACTTTGTAGTTAGATCACTTGCCAATTCATAGAATATGGTTAGTCAACTTGCCTTTGTTTGCAAACCTTAGTTCCATTGTCTCCATCTTACAAAAAATACAAGAAAGCAAGAGTAAAGTTAAAACCAAAAGGGTTCAAAGTATCGGCCGAGTCGTATCCGATTCGGCCATTGACGATACGATAACGATACACGAGTCGAAAAATTGACAAATTTAACTTGTATCGGCAATATCTCGAACGTTTCAGCCGAAATCAAAGGTGTCGGTGAAAACTCGGTTCAACTCGGGCGACTCGACTCGGAATCCTTCCGAGTTGAACACGACAGTAGAAAAATTCTCAAATCTGACCCACACTTTTGCAAAAATTTATTAACACTCATTCATTTTTCTAAAAAATGAACATAAATCCAAAAAAAAAAAGGGGATGGAAAATAAAGTAGACCTACTACCAGACTACCCGTTGAAAGACTCGACACCTATGTAAAAATTGTAGAAATCACATGAACCCTAAGGCAACAAACCCCTATAAAAAACCAAGATTACTACCATACCTGAAAATCGAACCCTGAAACATCTTCTTCATCTGGTCTTGTGTGTCAATCTTGTTTTGTTATTCTTGTTCAACTCTTTGTTGAAAGGATTTTCTTCGATTCTTTGTTGAGACGATTTTCTTCGGTCTATATCGGCGAGGAACTGCACTGTGCATCTCTCTGTCTGCACTCTGTTCCCGTGCAACTCTGGGAAGTGAGAAAGAAGAAGAACGTAAAATAGGTAGGAAAAAAAATTGATTTTTTTTTTACGAAAAGTTTATATATTTATATTTGCCTTAAAAGTAACATAAAAGTAGTAACTCAATTGGGTGGTGCAACAAATTGACCTGCAAGGTCCCTGGTTCGATTCCACGAATGCTCCAATATGTAGTTTAGTTTTTTTTTTTTTTACTAAGTGTTTATATATTTATATTTGCCTTAAAAGTAACATAAAAATAGTAGTTCAATTGGGTGGTGTTGCAAATTGAGTTGCAAGGTCCCTAGTTTGATTCCACAAATGCTCCAACATGTAGTCTAGTTTTTTTTTTACTAAGTGTTTATATATTTATATTTGTCTTAACATAACATAAATGTAGTAGCTCAATTGGGTGGACATGCACATTGTAATGTTGTAGGTCATTGGTTCGACTCCTCCAAGACCCCAACACACTGTTGCTTTTTTTTTTTTGACCGAATATTTATATATTTATATTTGCCTTAAAAGTAACATAAAAATAGTAGCTCAATTGAGTGGTATTGCAAATTGAGTTGCAAGGTCCCTGGTTCGATTCCACGAATGCTCCAACATGTAGTCTAGTTTTTTTTTTTTTACTAAGTGTTTATATATTTATATTTGCCTTAAAAGTAACATAAAAGTAATAGCTCAATTAGGTGGTGTTGCAAATTGAGTTGTTGTAAGGTCCCTGGTTCGACTCTTCCAATGCTCCAACATGCAGGTTGTTTTTTTTTTTTAACTAAGTGTTTATATATTTATATTTACCTTAAAAGTAACATAAAAGTAGTAGCTCAATTGGGTGATGCAAATTGTCATGTGCAGGACAGTAGTTTGATTCCTCCAAGACGAACATGCTTTTTTACATTATTGTCATAGTTAAATTACTTATTTATTGCATAAATATTAAAATTATTGTATTTTAATGATCAAAAAAATTATAACTTTAATGTAATAATTAGATACATCAATATTTTATAATAATAAATGAGTGGATATAAGTTCCTTTTTTTATTTATAAAAAATATATGTTCTATTTCAAATTATATAAAATTAAATGTTACAATTACATTTTTTTATATTTAAACTATTTCAATCAATTGCATGTTACTTATTTAATTATTTGAAATTTGTGACATTGTAGAATGGCTCATAAAAAACACGACATTGGTTGGGAACACGCAACACCTGTTGGTAGTGATCGATGAATTACAAAGTGTAATTATTGTGGTAAAATAGTTCATGGTGGCATTACTCGAATGAAACAGCATATTGCACATGTATCCGGCCAGGTGGAAGGATGTCCACGTGCACCAAAAGAAGTGTCACAATTCTTGAGACAACATCTTAGTGATTGTAGTAAAGAAATGACTTTTATAAAAAAGAAAAAAGAACGAATTATGCAATCATTACGAGATGAAGATTGTTACAACTTGGATGACGATGATGGTGAGAATCAAAGTGAAGAGGGTGATTTTGAAAGAAGACAGTTAAAGCATGAAATGAAGGAAAGCCGTCAAATGACTTGGATGGAAGAAGAGGATCGTAGGCACTCTGTATCAAATGCAAGCGGTCGATCATCACAACCATCAAGCTCAGGAATCAAGCACAGATCACCACGTAGCTATAGCGTAAAAGAAGGTGCAAGCATGCCTGTAAGTGGCCTTGATCCGTACATGTTCCCGTCGAAACAAAAGTCAATAAAAGGCATGTTCTCAAGTGCGAACCTGAAAAAAGTGGGAAAAGCTATTTCGAAGTTTTTCCTCTTCAATGTCATACCATTCAATGCAGCTGATAGTGGGCCTTACTATCAATCAATGATTGACACTATTGCGGATGCAGGCCCAGGAATAAAGGGTCTCACAGGATATCAAATTGGTAGTTCTTATTTGGAGGAGGAGGTTCAAGAGCTTGATGTGTATATATCTTCGATGAAGGTAAAATGGCATCAGTATGGTTGCACAATCATGTCTGATGGGTGGAGTTCTAGAACAAAGAAACTCATTATCAATTTCATGATTTATTTTGACCGTAATATGATTTACCATACATCAGTTGATACCACAAATATTTCAAAAACTGCTGACTATATTTTCTCTCTTATGGATAAAGTTGTTGATGAAATTGGAGAAGAAAATGTAGTACATGTAGTAACCGACAATGAGGCAAGCTTTAAAGCAGCTGGTAAGATGTTGATGGATAAAAGAAAACATCTATTTTGGTCTCCTTGTGCAGCTCATTGTATTGATTTAATGCTAGAAGATATTGGTCATATGAAAGCAATCAAGGAGACCATAGATGATACTAAGACGATCACATCTTTTATCTACAATAGTCTCAAAGTGGTCAACTTAATGAAGCAACATACCAGAGATAGAGATTTATTGAGGCCAGGTATAACACGATTTGCCACTGAATTTATCGCCATTGAAAATCTTATTCGTTATGAATCGGATTTGAAAAGAATGTGTACCACCGATGAATGGCGTGAGTTCAACAAAGACAAGAAGAGGAGAAAAACAAGAGATATAGTCTCAAACCTTATTTTGACTGACCAATTTTGGAAGAAGGCTAGAGAAGTTCAATCTGTCATGGAGCCTCTTGTTAGGGTCTTAAAAATAGTTGATCAAGACAAAAAACCAACTTTATCAATTATCTATGAGGCAATGGACAGGGCTAAACTAGTCATACAACATTCAGTCAAAAATTGGAAGAAATACTGGGTTGTGATTGACAAAAGATGGGAGATCCAATTGCACAGACACTTACATGCAGCAGGTAAAAGTATTTAAAAATATAAATTTTTTGTTGTATATTAACTTGTAAAATATTATAGTTTTCCACTAACTTACATTAAATTGTCAAAAACTTTGCAGCTTATTTCTTAAATCCAGTTTTTCAGTATTCTAATCAATTTTTCAACCATCCTGAGGTAACATCTGGTTTGAAAGAGGTTATTAAAAGATTGGAACCAGATTTGAATAAACAAGCAAGGGCAATGAACAAGGTATGATGATTTTTGATAATTTTTTATTATAATATGTGTATATATTTGTCGCTTACGTAATACATTACACAATAAATTACAGATCAAATTATATACTGACAAACATGACGAGTTTGGGAATGCACTCACTAGGAAAGTTGTACATGCCTCCCATCCTGGTTTATTATTTAAACTATATGTATTTAGTAAAGTATCATTTGTTACTCTTATGGACAATACTAATATTGTACAATTTTTATTTTTTTTGTAGCTGAATGGTGGATCAATTATGGTGAAGAACCTCTCCATCTACAAAAAATTGCAGTCAAAGTTTTAAACCAAACATGTTCATCATCAGGGTGTGAAAGAAATTGGAGTATATGGTCGCTGATCCATACAAAACTTCACAACCGATTGACAATGAAAAAGCTACATAAGCTAGTTTTTGTACACCACAATATGCAGTTGCGAGTTAAAAATTTGACATATCAGCGTAAAAATGATGATTTTTATAATCCAATTGATCCGAACTACATTTTTAATGATGAGGATATAATAGATGAGTGGATAAGAGAAGGGGAGGAATCAATTTTACCACCTGATAACTTAGGTTGGCTGGATGAAGGTATTTGTGACATTGAAGAAGGTGGAAGTGGACGAGATGTAGTTGATGAAGGTGACACTAATACGACACCAACATCTAGCAATTATGCCACTACCAGAAGATCTGAAAAAGATACGAGGCCACCCAATAAGGGTAAAAAGGCTATGAGAATTTTTGTCAGTTCTAGTGATTCTTTTTCTGATGATGATAATGATAATAATGTTGCTGATACTTATGGTGGTGGTGGTGGTGATGGTGATAGTAGTAGTACTGATGATGATAATGCTAGTAATCATGGTGGAGATAATGATGAGAGCAACAAGAGTTGTGGTGGAGGGACTACTAGAGATGACAGTGATACTCAGCTACCTGGCGGTATGTCATGGGCACAGGGGCAAAACAATTACTATGCCACACAGGATACAGACCATGTATATAGACCAGGGGCAATGAAACAACGGAGGAATTTAAACTCTTCCATTGGTGATGATTATTCCCATAGACGCTACCATCATTCACTTGGTCGACAAGATATTGATGATCATATGCAGAGTTTGGGATTGACATCATATGAAGGATACATGCCTTACAGACATCATCAAAGTAGTGGTATAGAATCTAGCTATGCACATGGATCATATGGAGATGGTATCCCTTCGCAGCTTCCGAGGTCTACTAGTACTAATAGTGTTGGGCATTATAGTCATCGCCCTACGCATCTTGAGAGATCTACTAGTACTAGTACTGGTGGTTACTATGATCGTGTTCTAAGGAGACATCAGGATGGATCTTCTAACACGACATCGGATAGTGTCAACTTTTATGGATATGATCAATCTTCTGCTAGTAGTGGCCGTGAATATCGTGGTTTTGGGTACTATCAGTATGGGAACCAGCCAGTACAACCTCCACAGTCACACTACTCTGATTATAGGTCATCTATCCAATCAACTCAACCAACCCAATCAGATCCGTATTCACACTTGTACTCTTATTCTTATGGTAGACAGTACCTTAATTTGTATTATCTTAGAGACAATAACGACGATTTTGAGCCTTATCGTCGTTCAATGTGACAATGATTATGACTCAATATGTTCCTAAATGTCTACATTGAACATTGATAATGATAATTATTTTCGCTCGCAATTTTATGTTTCATTTTAATTATGTTTAATGTGTTTTTAGATGTATTTTGTGGATATATGATGCATAAATGATAATGTCTATTTTTTTAGAATTTTCTATAATTTTTTTAAATTTTTTTGGAGCTTCTATCTTGCGTTTTGAGCGTATCAGCCGATACCGTACCGCGACCGATGTGTATCAGCACCCTCCGAGTTGATGGTCGATACCGCGACTTTGAACCATGTTCTAATTGGATCATTGTAAAATAAGGATATTTGAAATCCTAACAGTTTAGAATCAACCATTAGAATCAATCACAATTGTTATAGTCATAACTTAAATTCAAAAGTCAACTCTAAATCAATATGATATAGATGAGTTATTTAATGCTCTTCTCACTGTCTAAAGAGGGGGAGGGAAGGGAGGAGGAGGAAGAGGAGGAGGAACTTATCCATTCCAATTTCGGATATAGAATCTTTGATGAATTGATTCAACCCATCATTGCTAACATGATCATAGACCACCCTCACAGGTTTTTCCCAAATCCAGCCCCTTGAAATCAATATTCCCCAATTCAGTCAGTTTTAAACTTATTTTTCAAACCCAATTTTTATTCAAAAATGTCATTTGAAATGACGTCTTCAGATGTTAAAACGTAATTTGGAATGACGATTTAAAGTTGAATTTTTTTTACTGAAAATGTCATTCGTAGTGACGTTTTTTAACATGAATTTTAAACAACAGCTAACGGGTGTTAACAAAAATAAAGGGGTAGAAAACGTCATTGTAAATGACGATTTGAACGTTATATTGACTCCCTTAAAATTTCCCAAATCACAGCCTAGATTAAAAATTTTCAAACATTTCAACCACTTTCAACTCTCCTCCTCCACAAACGATTGTGAGCTCTCCTCCTCCACCAACCACTCTTAGTCAACCTCTTCTCCGACGAGCTCCAACCATTCAACAATTGTTATCGCCGATGGCTCCAACCATTGTTAATCCAGCGAGTCAGCGATTGAGCTATGAGCATTCTTCGTTCTCCATTCTAGACTGAGTAATGAGCATTCTCTGTTATCCTTGAGTAGATCAAAATTTGAAGAGAAAATAAAAGTTTTTAACAGTTTTGGTTTGTCTAGAGATGATTTCTTTTTAGCATTTGAATTGCAACCTAATTGTATGCTCACTTCAGCCAAAAAATTTAAGAAAATTATGGGTTTCTTTGTGCAAAAATTGAATTTTCAGCCTTCGTCGATCTTCAGGCATCTAAACCTTTTTCTGCTTAGTTTGGAGCAGAGGATTATTCCAAGGTGCTCAGTCTTGCAACTTTTGATGTCCAAAGATCTATTTGAGTGGAATTACAACTTAATGACGGTATTTTTAATGACAGAGAAGACTTTCCTGGAGAGTTTTGTTACCAAATATCAGCACTTGGTCCCTGAAGTTGTTAAGGCACACGGAGGAAAGAGAGAGTTTCAAGGGTTTAACCTAAATCAATTGGTCAAGTTGTTTCAGAAAATGCCTGCTGCTCGTATGTCATGTCCAAGGTCAAATGATCCTTAGCTTTAGGTTGAATTGGGGCAATTAAAATGGAGTAGGGAGTTATATGGTCAGCTTGTCTCTGGTATCTATTTTTGCAGCAGGACACAGAGGACACAAGGGAATGGTCTTGAGAATATTGCAGTGGATGTAGACTAGTTTAACTTGAGCTGAACACCACTAGCAGAAAACTTTGTTGCATTCTTTTTTGGTGGAGTTGAGCACCAGCACAAGCTAATCACAATTAAGGAGAGATTTTGCTTGGCATCTAGTAAGCCCATTGGATAGTTAACATCAACACACTGACCATTTCGTCTACTCGGGAGATTTTAAGTTTGTTCTATGATTGGGTGTTTATTTAAAATTATGATTGGGTGTTTATTTAAAATTATGCAAGCATTCTCTAATCTTTGAAGATGATACTTAAACAGGGTTGTCTGCAGATCATGCTCTACCCCCCTTGTGTGAATTGCTTAATTTTTGGACCTCAAATGGATATCAGTTTTGTCTGTTGTTACTTTTGGATACTGAAATATTAATCATATAGTTTTTTAGTTGTCTGGTTATGCTTGTTCATGTCATATACTCTTGTTTGTGAAGACATTGGACCAATTGATAAGGTCTAGGGGCTTTTCATGTTTGTTGGTTGTGTTCTTGGGTCTTGATTTTACAGAAAAATAAGAGGAAAATAAAAGAAAAAGAAAACTACTCTACAAACTTCTACACGCTGATTCTTAAGGGCTAGACGTGTTGATGTTGTGTGTTGCATTGACACTATTTAATCAGAGGTCTACTGTATACACTAAAAACTTGCTCTTAGGTTCCTCCATAAGAATACTGATGTTGTGTGCTGCATTGGCACCATCTAATCAGAGGTCCACTGTATACACTACCAACTTGCTCTTAGGTTCCCCCATAAGAACACTGAATGCCCAGTTTCACAAAGTAGCTCTCTCCCCAGCCCACAACATAGCGTGGAATCTGGATCGTTCCATCAAGCATTGTAACTAAGTTGATTTGAAGCTTTAAAATTGACTTCCAAGAGATAATACCACTATTTACTTGGACTAGATAATCATTGCCAAGATGTTTAGTCATGCAATTTGTAATCTGAAAATATCTGATTAAGGGGTATAAGAACCTAATTTTAATATTAAGCTCGGACATTATAAGTTGTGGAGAACATTGTGACTGAGTAACAAGCTAGAGCACGTGATTTCTCAAAATGTTGTATCACTGTGAACATTGAATTCTATGTGGGTGTTATAAATTAAAAGTAATGGACAAGGCTTCTAAAACTATCAGTAGCTGAATCTAATCGCTTAAAAACATTGACTATGAAGCCTTCAACTGTTGATCAAGTTTCCATTCTTACCTAATTTGAATAACAAAAGTTCATTCATTCCACCATCACCCTGATTAATCCCTGAAAGTTCATTCTATACAAACAAGAAGCAAAAAGTATTGTAATTCATACAGTTTGATTCTTAAAACTATCAGATATAAATCAGATATAATACAAAAAAGAAATACAATTGCATTGTTGTAATTCATTTACATATTGAACTGCTAAATACAGGGAAAAAGTATTGTACAAAATCTTGTGGGGGAATCTGCCAGCTTCCCATACCCTGTAATGTACAAAATCTGCCAACTTCCCCCACCCCGTAACCACCTCAATGATCAATCATCTTCATTTGCATTAATTCTACTCAAAGGTCATAGCGTGAATGTTCTTTTCTGTTGCGAACTAAGATAAACTCGATCCACCTGCAAGAAAAAGAAAATAAAACCTTTTGAACCCGTGTGTTCATCTTAACCGAAAACCTTAGGAATGAACAAAACCAATATCAGTGGGGAATGGAAATAAATTAAAGTTTATAACTGAATTGCAAATGAAGATTTACCTCAGATTCAAACGTTATGGCCTCTCCTTGGTCTGTAATACCCCCCCCCCCCCCGCCCAATGCACATTACACTTGGCAACAAGGCAAAATTTGTGGGTTGGCATCTCAAAGACTCAAGTATGATTATGATGATTTTTCTTTTGGGATATAAAAGGTGAATTAATACTGCATTTTTAAATACCCAATGCTTGCGCTCTTAGAGCCAATTGCCATTGGCAATGCCGCATATGGTTTTCTTCTTCTTCTGTCACACAAATAGAGGATAAAAGAAGAGAAAAACTATATGCAGCACTCTAGTATTCATAATAATGAAAGTGAGTACAAGAGACAATATAAAAGGAACCTACAATAATGAAAAGACTATACTACCCTTAATGATAAATAAATATAATTACACTCTTAGCATCCCACATTCACATAACAAATTGCATACTCCTAAGAGTGAAAGCATGAAGCAGACAAGATCCCACTGAACTTTGCATCATAACCTAGAACTTACCATGCATTTGCATCATAGCCTTGAACTTACCATGCATTCGGATAGTTAAAGGATAGAAGGTCCTGGAATATAGACAGTAATCTACTTTGCAGTCCGTAAAAAATCAGCTTATGCACCTCATCCCTCATGGCATGACCTTTAAATCCCACATCAACATGTATTTACCAAAATTACCAATATTAGCAGGAAGCAAACAACCTAATAGTGAATACATGAATGAGGGATTAAGATAAAAAGTGAAGGCATACTAATGAATACAACCTTAAGATAACTCTTCACTTAAGTAATTGACATAGGAAAGCAGTGAAAACGAATCCATGTATCACAATAATAACCAAAAGAACATGAAGAAAAATTTTAATATTGAAAAAGATTGTCTACCCCTTCAGAGACTTCCAAATCTCATTGGTCTTAATATTGAGTCACAGTTTCCAGGTTTCCCCTCATTTGATCATTAAGTTCCGAAAAATAGAGTCAATGTCCTTCATTTTTTCTGTCTGAAATCATGATAGAAAACTTATAGATCTCAAAAGCTCTCTAATTCATTATGACGTGTTTCATAAATGTCCTAAGAAAGGTTTATATGACATTTACAATTATTCCACCCATGTACAATCAGGATCAATGCACTCAGTGCCAATAGATGTAGGAGAGGAGTAGTGACTGATTACTCATCATACCTGTTGCTCGATGCGAGTCAATGATAGTCACTCGGTGGAGGACTCAATGGAAATGCTTGTGGAGCTCTGATATAATGGATGGAAGACTTGATGGAGCTCGGTGGACTGGAGCTGTGTTCAGTCGTTGGTGGAGTTGTGTTCAATCGTTGGTGTTCTGGATCGATTTGGGACAAAATCGATTTAGTCTAGAATGGAGAATGTTTATGCTCAGTCGCTGACTCGCTGGATGAACAATGGTTGGCGCCGTCAGAGATAACAGTTGTTGAATGGTTGAAGCTCGTCGGAGAAGAGGTTGGCTAAGAGTGGTTTGTGGAAGAGGAGAGTTGAGAGTGGTTGAAATGTTTGAAAATTTTTAACTTAGGCTGTGATTTGAAAAATCTTAAGGAAGTGCATATGCGTTCAAATCGTTATCGCAAATGACATTTTTAAAAAAGTCATTTATAATGACATTCTTTATCCCTTTATTTTTTTTAACACCTGTTAGCTACCATTTAAAATTCATGCTAAAAGATGTCATTATAAATAATGACTTTAAAAATGTTATTACGAATGATGTTTTCAAGTAAAAAATTTTAATTTTAAATCGTCATTCTAAATGACGTTTTAACATTTTAAGCTATCATTTCAAATGACATTTTTTAAAAAAAAAATAAGTTTAAAAAATAAATTAAAACTGACTGAATTGAGAAATATTATTTTAAAGGGGCTGGATTTAGAGAAAAGCTCGCCACCCTCATGCCAAGATTTAGCCTAAACTCATGCTATACCAGATAAAGGGTGAAACGTGGTAGATTGGTAGTAGCTAAACCTAAGTGTCCTCTAAATTTAAAATCTACAACCATCAAATCAACCTACCCCCTGTTTTAGGTGGCTCTCTGTTTCTGCCATCACCCAACTAATTTTTTTTCAGTTTTTAGTCCATGGTACTCTATTTTATTTTTATTATATTCTGAAGTGCGATCAACTCAAATATATATATTTAATAAATTATATATTATTAATGAGTGAGTTTGATTTGTATAGAATGATTCTATTTAAATATTTAAAAAAAATTTAAAAATATAATGAAAAAAATCTTAATTCCAAAAAAATTATGCCAAAATATAAAACAAGGTGGGCCTTGTTTGTTTCCCCTTGTTTTGACTTCTCCTGCCCACCAATTCCTCGGCATGCTATTTTGGCATAATGAGAGGAATATCCCCTTGATTTTGCCTTTAATTACTGTATCAATCCCAAAATATCCAAAATAAATTAGTTTTTTTTGTGCACTAATATTATTGTGAATGGTTATAAAAACTTGATTATATATGCACACATATATTAGCAAGGATGCTAATAACTTAAAGAATTTGGTTATATAATTTTTTCATTGATTATTTTTTCAAAATAAAATAAAAATAATGGGACTTGGATTCTCCAATAAAATCCCGAACATTCATTTGATAGAGACTTTAAAAAAATAATTAATTATGGGTTAATCTCGACTCTAAAATTTGTTACGGTATTATGTGGTTATCCAATAATTGAATCATATCAAGGTATTTTCATCACATATTCGAAAAAAATTTGCATATGTCTGATTTTCTTCAAAACTCACTTTCCAACAAACTCATATGCTAAATTATTATTATTTTTTATTGAAATTGATAATTACCTCATAATTACTTCCTAAGATACAGAGAAAATAGTGAAAAATAAAAAATTAAGATAAAAGGAAAGTACCATGTGCTTGGTGAAAAAAGAGAGGGGGAGAGGAAAAGAGGAGGAGAAAGGGGGGCAAAAGGGTAAAATCAGATAAACCGCCATAGAGATGCCTGCTCAAGGGTCCATTTGTGCGACAAAACCGATGGTATTACACATACGGCCGCGCTCTCTCTCTACAACTTCAATGTATAAAACCTAACCATCCATTTTTCCTTCGTCTTCCGCTCACTCTCCCTCTCTCCACTTACTGTTCCAATACCAGTTCTTTTCTCGTCATCCTCTCGCGATCCAACCATGTCTTGCTACAAGGGAAAATACACTGGTATTCCCATCTTTTCTCTCTTCTTTATACCCTCTTTTCTTATTCTTGTGTTCTTTTGTTCATATCAATATACAGTTTTATTGATTCATATCTTTCATATAACAGAGTGATTGTTTATAGGTCATCCGGGTTTTTTTTTTAAAAGATCTTTTGATCTGGGGATTTCTAGTTTTCATTGTTTGGTTCCTTTTGGATCTGTGTGTGGAAATGTTGTTTATTGATTAACTTCGATTATATGTGCCTTTTGGGTTACCCCGCAATTAATTATTACTCTGATCATGAATGATCGGTTTTGTCGCTAAGACGGTGATTATTCACTAATTAGCGAGACATACGGTTTGTTTTGTTGCATGTAACTTTTGTACGAAATGGATTTGTTTAATCTCTGAAAGATATAACTTACTAGTGTTTTTGCCGATATATTATAGATCTTTGTATCTCTTTCTTTTCCGGTTTGTTTTGTTGATTCGTCTGGTCTTTATGATGATGGATTTGCAGTTTATTCACCAATAATTTTACATACTCATCTGATTGATTTGTTGTGAATTGTTTTTTTTCCTTTCATGTGTTGTGGATTTTGTACTGATCAATTTAGAAAAGGTGGTTTTTTCCACAGGAAATTACTTCATTAGTTGAAATTTTCTGACGGATCTTTCGGTTTCCATGGTTAATATGTATTTTTTTTGGACATGTTGACGTAGGTAGTTTGAACATGTTTATAGAATACCTAATAATGCACCGGTAAAAGAGAGCGATGCACCGGTAAAAGAGAGTGAATTGATACGTCTTGATAGCGCTAGTAATGTGAGAGGTAATGGTAGGCCTAACATATCTGTGAATGAAATAGTAAAAAAAAATATATGATAACTTATGATCTAACAGCATATATGACCCTGATAGAATCAAATAGTTGGGATTATGTCTTTGTTGTGTTGAGCATGCTGTACCATATAACTGGAATATGAAAAATCGGAGAATTTTTTATGTCCTTCAAGGAATAAACAGATGATATGGATTTATTCCTTTGTGAATCTCTGAATTGGGCTTTCTAAATCATATGTTAATATGTTTTTTAAAATTTGATCTTACTTATGGCCTTCTTCCAAAGTGTTTATGATTATAAAGAGTGGCTGGTAGTTTACATGCTTCTTCTTTTGTAATTCGGCGAAATACTCTGAAAACATGATTGCTGTGGTAATTATGTGCGCCAGACTAGAGTATGAATGTAGTGATTCTCATATTACTTAAAATTTTCCCGCCTGCCAAGCTTGATAGTCATTGAAGTGACACTGCTTTTTCTGTCATTTGTATACTTATGTCCGTTGGAATTAGTTTTTTTATTTTCTTTTGTTAAAGTGAGGTATATTGCAATCCTCTTTTTTTGGTCATTTTTCACCATCTAGTTTTAATTTTCATGAGTTTTCATTTTTAAAATTTTCTTTTTTTTCTTTATTATTTTTTAATTATTGTCTTACTTATTTTCACCTTTTTGACTTTGAATTTTAAAGTACTACTTAGTTGATTTCGTAACATGGATTTTATGTTTTTTATTGAGTTCTGTTTTGTGGTTTGCTTCTGTGAAAAAACTACACTTATTGTCATCTTTGATGTGATTGTCTTGGATAGATTGTCCATAGCGTTGCCTTGTATAGTTCAGCCATACCATGTTTAACAAAGTTTAATGGGGTTGCATGAATAGTGTTTGGAAATCTTTTAAGACAATTATTTTTCTTCCAGTATACGTAATAGATCCTGTGGTTATTAAATATTTTCAGAGTTTGTTATGTAATTGTGCTTTCCTTGCCTGCATCCTTGTGATTTTAAGGTTATCAAATGTTGAAGTAGTTCCTCTATGCCCTTTTGATGCTCTCTACTCTTTGCCTATGCTAAATGTAATAGGCATTACTGGATCTTAATGCAACTTATATTTTAGAAAATCTTATCTCTTATCCTCTTTGTTTGTGGCTTTAAACATATGCTACACATCTCATTTGTTGCAGATGAGCTTATTGCCAATGCTGCTTACATTGGCACCCCTGGAAAGGGTATCCTTGCTGCTGATGAGTCAACTGGCACAATTGGCAAGCGTCTATCTAGCATCAATGTTGAGAATGTTGAGTCAAACAGGCGGGCTCTCCGTGAGCTTCTCTTCTGCACTCCTGGTGCCCTTCAATACCTCAGTGGAGTTATCCTTTTTGAGGAAACTCTCTATCAGAAGACTGCTGCAGGTTTGAATTACAAATTCTTATGTTCATTTTCAAAATGGCTATGATTACGGAATATATAGTCCTATGACATTCAAAATACAAATAGCTTGTTGATTTCAAATTAATATTTTATGGCCTTTTCCAAATTGTTAAGAGATGGCTGTGTTACTCCTCTTGTATCTGTTACTTTCATCTTGAATTTGTTATTGACGGATTCTATGAAGTATGTGTCTGATACTATTTATTCTGGCGTACAGGTAAGCCCTTTGTTGATGTGTTAAAGGAAGGTGGAGTCCTTCCTGGAATTAAGGTTGATAAGGGCACTGTTGAGCTTGCGGGTACAAATGGTGAGACCACCACCCAAGGTCTTGATGGCCTTGCTCAGCGTTGCGAGAAGTACTATGAAGCTGGGGCTAGGTTTGCCAAATGGCGTGCTGTGCTGAAGATTGGCCCTAATGAGCCATCGCAGTTGGCTATTAATGAAAATGCCAACGGCTTAGCTCGATATGCGATCATCTGCCAGCAGAGTGGCTTGGTTCCCATTGTTGAGCCTGAGATTCTTGTGGATGGACCTCATGACATTGACAAGTGTGCTGAAGTAACAGAACGTGTTCTTGCTGCATGCTACAAGGCACTCAATGACCACCATGTCTTGCTTGAGGGAACCCTGTTGAAGCCCAACATGGTTACCCCTGGATCTGATGCCCCAAAAGTTGCACATGAGGTGATTGCTGAGTGTACAGTTCGTGCCTTGCAGCGTACCATGCCTGCTGCGGTTCCAGCTGTGGTGTTTTTGTCTGGTGGCCAGAGCGAGGAAGAGGCTACCCTCAACCTTAATGCCATGAACAAACTCAAGACAAAGAAGCCGTGGACTCTCACTTTCTCCTTTGGACGTGCTCTTCAGCAGAGTACCCTCAAGGCTTGGGCAGGAAAGGAGGAAAATGTTGGGAAGGCACAGGCTGCATTCCTTGCCAGATGCAAGGCCAATTCAGAGGCTACCCTTGGAACTTACCAGGGTAGTGGTTCACTTAGTGAAGGTGCTGCAGAGAGCCTCCATGTGAAGGACTACAAGTACTAATCGGGTTTTTGTTTCTACTCGGTTGTGTCTTTAATTTTTGGAGTTTATGGCAGTACTGTTTGAGTGTCTATTCTAGGGCATGGTGTTAGGCTTCTTGCTCATTTTTCTTCTTGACCTATGTTAGTTGAATGGTCCAATAATCTTGAGTCAACATTGGTATGTATGAGATTGAGTATGTTTTTCCGAGTCTATGATTATCTGCTTCTTCCAGGGATGGTTTTCGTAATTGTCTTAATAAAGGATATGCTATGGTGTTTTGATCCTGTTTTGACCCATGTGTTCTACAGGACTGATCAGATTTGCTCATTATATTTATTACAGGGATAGCGTAGCAACTCGGGCGGGTTGTGGGGGTTGGACAATCAACCCTAGTTTAACCCTAAGTATATAATTTTTAACCCTAATTCTAACTCTAATTCTACCTCGAGTTGGGAAATTCAATCCGAGCACTGCCTGAGTTTAAATCGGGCGGGCTCGAGTTGATGATTTCGGGTTGATTTCGAGTTATTTTACGGTTTCAATTCGGGTAGAGCCTAAAATAGGCTTGTTGTTCTAAATTTAATACATATATTACATAATATTCACCTAAATTAACAACCAATAACTTTAACCAAATTTTTAACGAGAGAGATTGAGAGAACGTGAGAGGCAAAGAGAACGAGAGAGACAAAGAACAATAGAACAAAAATGAAAAATTAGTGTTAATGTTTTATATATACATATTGAATTCGGGTTCACGATGTCTTAACCCGAGTACAACGCAAATTGAATTCGGGTTGGAATTTATTGACTCAAGTCCAATCCAAGTATTAAAAATCTTTGTCCAAGTCCTAATTTTTTCGGGATAAAATTGGGTTGCCCAACCTAAGTTGCACCCCTAACCCCTGTAGCGTACAAAATATCTGTACTGTGTAATTGAGGGGAGCCATCTTGTGATACATAGGCTTATCGTCTTTTGAGTGTACCGTGTTCATTGCCAACTATTGTTTGGTTTCTTGCAATGCTAATGCTTGTGCAGGTGCTTAAACATTGATGTTGTTGCGATCGTGCAGCAATTATGGTGAATAGTAAAGAATTAAACAATTAAGAAAACAGGAGAAAATAACACACAGAGATTTACGTAGTTCGGCAATGTGCCTACATCCACGAGAGCAAGCGGCCGTTCTTTTCCATTATAGAATAGGGTTATATATTAAGTATTTATATAACCCTAATATGGACGTATTTACAAAAATACTCATGTACCGTACCGCGGGGGCGTTGCCCCCGCACCCCCAACTAATCAGCATCCCCTTTATATAAATCCCACAAGGCAGATGCCGCAACGGACTTCGCTCCGGCATCTACCTCCTTGCCATTATGCACACAACAAATATGAGTCACACATACTCTAACAAATGTCAATTGTATGGTGTCGTGAATCGAAAAGAGTAATCATGTAACCTAAAGACTCGTCCTCATTTTCAGTGCTGAAGCATGAAATTCGGTTTCTATGGTAGTAATGGAGCTTTAGTGCAGATTAATGTGGTCAACTTCAGTTGAAGAATTTCATCAGTTTTATCTTGGTTTAACAAGAGTGTTGCATCCTGTCGTTTTCATGTGAAATATAGACACTGGAAGGACTTAGAGCAGACGAGCCCATCCATATAATAATAATGCTGCAAAAAGAATGAAGCAATGGATAATATTTTGAATTAAAAATGTATAAAAGTTCAAATTCCTAATTTGAAATAATAATTTTAGTTTTGGGAAAAATATTCCGACATCTTTCCACGCTCACCTAATGTTCCATAAACTCTCAGTTCCACTTGGAATAATTATGAATCTTGTTTGGTTATCGTATAGTAGAAAAAGAAAGGATTGAATTAATTAATACGGATTAATTTTGTATAAACGGATAAAATATAAAATTAAATATAAGATAAAGTTAATACTCATTGTAATATAATGTTTGGTAAAACACTAAATAAAGGTAAGATGATAGAGTTTTAATATATATATATATATATATATATATATATATATATATATTGATCAAAAAATCATCAATTTTATTTAGTTATTAATGTTTTTGTTATTTAATGGGTAAAATAGTAAATTTATAACTTAATATTCTTGAACTAGATTTATAATACTACCTCTCCAAATGGTATTATAATCGACTAAATAGTATGAATATAGTGTATTATTTAAATAAACATTTAAAATAAAACTATTCGTAATACAACATGTCTTTTACAACCAAATGCAATCAAACGATCCTATAAAATATATTACGAGTATAAATACTTGACAAATGGCTTGAAAGAAAGAAAGAAAACTGAATATTTGTAGCATTGCTCGCGACTACTGATGCTCAACTCAAATGAAGTTCAAAAGTTGAAACTTAAATGCATCTCATCCTTTGGATGAGTGTTGAATGATTGGGTTCTACTGAAAAAATTAATGTGATTCACTTATTAAAGAGATAATATGTATTTAAATTATAATTTATTTAATTTTATTTAAATTTTATAACATTGGTAATTACGACTTACGAGCAATGCATTGCTCTTTATGTTAATATTATGGGGGGTTTTCGATTGGATTTGCCGTCCCCATTCTGTCCACACCAGTGGGCTACAATTTTGCAGGCTTTGAAACCCACCACCTCCCCCACAAAAGCCCCCGTATGTGGTTTTACAACCACTATACATTTTTGCATGTAAAATCCCACGTCTCAAATCTCCGACCAAATACTTTCGACACTTTTGAAAGTTCTCCACGTACACATGTTCAAAAACCTCTTAGAGCATTGACTTTGTACTTCTGACAACTTCATCTCCAGAATGAAACATTTCCGCTCTATATCCTAAAGAAAACTTAGTTTAAAAGTGTCAATTGGACAACTTAATCCAACTCTGGTCTCCCACCCAAACTCACAAAACACAAATGTGACCCCATTGAATGGCTGCAACTATTAAATGAATCCGCCATTGACCTGCTTCCAACCAATGTACATTTCGTGGCCTAAACTATTAAAGAATGGGAAAGCCTACGTTATTAAATAAATAAATAAATTATTATAATATCAAAAATTATTATTTTTAATAATAAAATTACACATTTGAGAAGTGAAATTACAACTAGTTGAGGGGAAGTCCACGATCGATCATGAAATTCTCTTACGCAGTTGTAACTTAACCTTTAAAAATTCTAACTCAAATTTTTGACAATTGCAACTTCTATAATCGATCATTTCTTTACAATTTGAAACTTATATTTTAAAATTTTGTAACTTGACCTTATGAAATTGTAATTTAATGTACAATATCGATGGCGGTACCGTAACTTTTCCCTTACAGAAGAGTCAACTACGGTACCAAACAAAAGTTTTCAGTACTGTGCCATTAAATTTTAAGTTTTGTGAATTGAAATATAAGTTTTTAGATTTATTTATGATAAAAAATTTACAATTTTTGTGGGTTATTTATAATTTTTATGGGTCATTTGAGGTCAATCATAATATTATTAGAATGATCACAAGTAATCTCAAAAATTATAAAATAACCCCCCAAAATTATAAATAATCCTTAAATATTATAAATAATCCCCAAAAATTATAAGTAATTCTTAAAATTGGAAAAAAATCACATAACTTATAATGACGATACGATATCATGGATAGGGGTGGGCACCAACTCCAATGTAGTTGGAAGGCATGAATTCGACCTCTAACTCCGACTATAGTGAAAAGTAATTTTTCTTTTTAACTTCGACTCTGACATCTTTAAAATCAAATTTGTAGAGAGAGAGAGAGGAGCTAAGTTGTTTCTAGAGGGGTGGAGGTGCATATGAGGGGAGAGGTTTTAGGTTTCTTTGCTAATTGTCGGAGAGAGAGAGAAGGTCACCTTTGAGTGAGATCTGTGATTGCTCATCAAGTGGCTGCTCGTTGATTGTGAAAGAGAGGAGTGGAGGCGTTACCCTGGTGTGTACATGTGTGTTAGAGAAAGAGAGAGAGAGAGGGGAAAGAGAGGGAAATATGGGTTGGGAATTTAGGAATAGGGAAGCAAATATGAGAGTAATTTATAATTTATATTAATATATTAAATAATTTATAATTTATTTTTAAAAAAATTAATATTAATTAATAAAAATCAGAGTTGGAGTCAAATTTTTTTCAAAAAGGACTTCGCACTCCGATTTTGATTGGATGCTGACATTTTATTCCAACTCCAACAAAAGTAAAGTTGATTTGTAGTCGGAGTTGGAATCGTTCTCGAATTTTCGTGTGGATGAACGCACACAACCATACACCTCTCCTTCAATAAGAAACAGAGAAAGGTTTCCTTGAACTTGTCAAATCAATGGCATCATCTAAAACCTTTGATTGCTTATTAATGACTTAAATACTCTAAATGTTTTAAGAAGCCTTGGGAGAAGCAAAGCTGGACTGAAGTGAAGACGATCCATGAAAGAAGAAAAGCTGAAGGGAAAAGGCTGACGAAAGAATCAAAGACGTACTTACACTGCCTTGATAATGACTGTACCATGTCTCTCCTCATTTCCTTGGCTGTTGTTCCAAAGACGGAGGTTTCTTTTACCACCATTGTTATATTTACTAAATTTATTATAAAATTGTATATATCAAATTAATATAAATAATTATACTAATTGAATCCAATAATTTTCACTAAATATTCAAGAAAAAGGTTATGGTACGGTCAACGATAGAGCAAAAAAAATTATAAATTTTTATAAGATTCAATTATAATTTTTTAAAGTGTAAGTTACAAATTTTAAAAGAGATTATCAATCATAGAGAGTTGTGATCGATATCGAAAATCTGTGAATGTTAGATTATGGATGTCTGTACGATCGATCATGACATTCCATTGAACAATTACAATTTCTTATTTTAAATACGTAATTTTATCATAAAAAATTATAATTGACTATACAGTACAATTTTTTTTTTCAACTTTTCCAATATTCTATGGATAATAATTTGTCACATCATTTGATATGTAATATTTTATAAATAAATTTAAGAAACACAATTTTATCCTTGATTTACACTTTTTTTTTTGATCTTGTTTAGGAGTTGGCTCAGTACAGAGCTTTTCAGTACTAATACCAAAATTTATCATATTTATGGTAATTTTTTTTTATTATTGTGGTACCTCAAAAATTAATAAAAATAACTATTACAACAGTGATAAAAAATTCATAAATATGGTAAAAGCACTATAAATGTTGTAAATCACCCACAAAAATAATAAATTATTTTGTACTTAAGAAAAGTGATAAAAATAATTTTTACAAATAAGATAAAATATTCATAATAATAATAAAAATATCCACAAAAATAATAAATCAATTACAAAAATACCATAGTATTTTTTGAGCAGCTAAAAGTACTATAGTTAAATCCTCTTGTTTAACACCCTAATCTACTACAGCAACCATTTTTCTAGGAGTACTGAGCTGTGACGCAACATTAACGAATTCCACAAAGAATTATTGCAAGGTGTCCGTACAGCTATTACCAACTATAGAGCATCTCCGCGATGATGAGCTAAGACCGCTATAATAATACTATTTAAAATAGTTACTAAAGATATATTTAAATAAATTATATTATTTATTTTAATTAATTATTTTTTTAAATTCACTTCAACAACGTTATCTATTTTATCTAACCACGTCAACTAATTTTAGCTAACTTTTAATAATAAAATTAAAAAAATATCAATTTAACTATATATTGTATAAATTTAATCAATTATAGATTACGAGAGAGAACTTACCTTCCGAAAATTACTACTCTTAAACTAAATTCTCTCAAATTAAATCACAAAATTCAAAACAAAATCACCTCAAATTACACAAATAACTGAAGTTAAATTTTTGGAGGAAGTTTACTAGATTTTTGGAAGGTTTTATTAAATTTTTTGAGGGCGTTAATGGATTCTTGGGAGAATTTATTGGATTTTAGGGGATTTTGTTGGATGTAACTAGTGAGAAGTGGTTAGCTAGATGTAACTAGTAAAAATGGGGTTATGAAAAATATGTAAGGTGAATAACTAATTTGTTAGAGCCACATTTCAAGAAAAAACTATCTAAAATAGTTAAAAATGAGATTTTGGCTAGCCTTTTGGAATTGCTCTAAGGGATATAATCAAATTCTATTCTAAAGCATTATCTTCAAAATACCTAAATTAATATTTTGTTACAATAATATTCTATATTTGAAGTATCACTATAATAATATATAAAAAAAATTTATAATATATTCTCCCTCTTCCTTTCATGTCCTCCATTCTCTCTTTTTCTTTTTTTCACTATTCTCAAAAAAAAATAATACAAAAAGAATATTTAAAATGAATAGTTAAAATATAGAAAATATGTGGGAGTGAATAGATAAAATAAAAACTACTACTTTTTAATTAGTTAAAATAAATTTTATTATTGAAGATGTTCTACAGTTGCATTGAAATTCTTTATAAACATTTTAACGGGTGCTACACTTGAATGGACTTCGAAAACAAGTAATATATAAGATGTAATATTTGGCATTTGATGAGTTATGGGTAGAGGCTGTTGATCGGAGTTAAAAAGAAAGTTTTAATTAGTTATTTGAAAATAAATAAGGGATAAATTATCGACTTGAAACATTGTCCCTTGAGTAATACTAGTATAGGTGAGTGTTCCATGATTTTTCTCATCTCTTTCAATAGAATGCTTAAACTTAAGTAACCTTAAGAAGTAGTTCAAGTGATAATATAGAGACGAATCGTAAATTCAGAAGTCTTGAGTTTGATTTTTAACAATTTTTTAAGATTAATTTATGATAAGAAATTTATCCTTCATGAATATCCTAGTCCCAACATAAATGATATGTATTTAGCCGAATCGATGAAGAGATTAATTGAATTGTGCATAAATTAGTCTGAAAAATCCTGACCATTGAACCTAAAAAAAAATACTTAAACCTTGGTGCAAACGATCTTGAGTGATGCAATTTGGTGTCATGTAAATGTACAACACTGTAACACACTTTTTTTTTGGGGGGGAAAATTGTCATATGGGTAAGTCTATAGTATAGGTATAGGTTAAAACAAACATTGCTGGTACAATACAGGCAAAAACTAAATGCCTGGAATCTTAAGCTTGATATGAATAAGAATACTCAGAAGCCTCCCAGCCAGTTCTGAACCACCCTTTCTCCCTTTGGTGTCCTTTCCATTATTGTCACACTCTTCTTTCACCCCGAGAATAAGTGAAATAAGATATAATGAATTCGGATTAGTTTCACGTTATATGGGATTTATTGGCAGACTTGAACACCATAATTCCTTCAAAATCACACAACTATTACAGGGTTAAAATGAAAATTAAGAAATTTACTAGACAAAACAAAGGTACTCCAAAGACTAACTAATGACAGAATACCTCCTCGTCAATTGGAAAACAATTCCATCCACATACTAGGCTAAAAACAGGCACTTCAAACAAAATAAACTACTCATTAGAGTCTTCAATGTTAGGGGGTAAAAGCAAGATCCAAACGGAAAGAGCTCCCTACTCAAGGGTGATGAGAAAGTAATGCGCGCATGATCAAAAAAGACAACTAACGATATGACAGAAAGAGTCTCTTTTATAGGGACTCCAATGAGTACGTGCTTTAATATGTTCTTCAAAACTAGAATCTCAAATAAAAAATGAAATGATAAAAAATTAGAAAAACAATTTCTTAGCGATGTTCAGAGAAATTTAACTAATTTTAACAGATACAATTCCCACTCACCCAACATCCAAATCTCTCTCTCCCCCCCCCCCCCCCCCCCCCCCCCCCCCCCCTCCCCCCAAAAAAAACCAAAAGGAAAAACAACTTCTTCTAGGTTAATTATTAATTGCACACACCCACAAATCAATATTCATAGAAATCCAAAATGGACTCAAATGAACCAAGATATAAAAAACACCGAAAGAAATAAACAAGAAATCTAAGAACCACTAGCTAGAGTTATACAAACTGCATGCAGAAAGGAGAATTTGTCACAAAAAAAGCAACATATTACAAAAGAAGATGAATACCAACATGGGGAGCACCACTAAGAACATCTCTTGACATAAAAATTCAATAAAAATAATGTAACAAAAAAAAATTCCCAAATTGCCCATCTCCTAAGAACCATTAAACGTCCAACCTACACATATATACCCCATCAGTTAGATACACTAAGACTTGCATAAACACACAAGTCCCAAATCTCACCACCTTAGAAATTAGAATGCCAGTTCTGTAAAATCCATACCTGCCAACAAATAGAGTCAGCCACCTCCTCTTCTAAACCCCTTTCAACTGATATGAACAATTGAAACAAACTTTTTATTCAATTTAGTGGTTCTCTTCCTTGCTGAGCTTCAAACCATAATTTTCCCACAAATTCTCTGTATCCCCCATTAAGAACCTAAAACCGGTATCATGCATCGGATTGCGAACGCTAGCATTGGGAGGTGAAGCACCGTGATCATTGTGTGCAAGTCGTGCTGTTTCCAGATCTTGTTCATTGGTTTCGCAATATGTTCCTCCTTGATTGTATATGGAGTCATTGTTCTGAAAGTAGCAACAGCTTCTTGAATTGTCCTTTCTTTTCTTGCTACATTTCACCAGATAATTGTTGACACTATCCCACTTGTTTTTGCACATTGAAGGGCTCCTATCATGCCCTAAACAAGCCATCTTGGCAGCTATCTCCTCCCACATAACCTCTTCTGAACACCCACTTTGCTGAAACCTATAGGAAACCCACATGTGAGGCGAAAAAATAACTGCCGGTATTAGAGTTGAAAGAGGAGTAAGGCACTATATCTCAAAAAAGTAGCTAGAAAGTGGTACATAAAACCAAACAAAAAAGGGATAGCTAGCAAATACCAACCAACTAAACCAAACTTTGTCTCAATTATTTGGGATCGGCTATATAAGTCTGTTTTCACTATTCATTTCGGTCGTGCGTTATAAACTCATTTAAGTTAAAAAGGGATAGCTTACAAGTGTTACACCAAAAATATGGGGCAATGGAAAGCTAGCAAGCTTGTGAGCTTTAAAATAAACTTAGGGGTTTGGTTTAGCAAGTGATACACAAAAAACAAAAAAGAACAAAATGGATAGTTAACAAGTACAACACAATATATAGGCAATGTTGTGGGTAACAACTAACAGTCATATGAGCTTGAACTTATGAGTTTGGTTTAAGTCGATTTGAATATGAGTCCACTGTACATATGAGTTTAGATTCTAACAAAACCTTTGTTCCATGCTGTTTCTCAATTGGATTAGCCTTGTAATCTCACTTTCTGGCCAACTATCACCTTTCAAAGTGCTCGTAATTGCTGCACTTCCATTCTCATTCTGATTTTCACCAAGACTTCGAAGCTCAGCCAGCATTAGCTCCTCTGGAGATGAACCCTTCAATTCTTTTCCACTTAGCTTCTGCAAAGCTTCCATAAATGAGGCGTCTCGAGCTTCAATCCATGCTCTCTCGTTAGCCCAGAACTTGTGCTCTCTATCTATCCTAGCTGCTTCTTGTTTCCTCCACTCTTCTTCTCTCATCATCCTCTCTTGTTCCTTGTGTTCAATTGTCTTCACCATCTTCTCCAACCAAGCCTCTTGTTTCTCAATCAGCTTCCTCATTTGGGCATCGATAAATTCTCTTATCTTTGCCTTCCAGCTCCTTTTACCTCTCCTTTTCTTTCTCTTTTCCGTGGAGTCATTGTCCATCATTGCAGATCCATTAAGATCACTGTCCTCGGAAGAAGAAGTATCAAATCCTGAGGAATTAGAGAGGCTAAGGCTTTCAGAGATCTTTGGAGGTTGAAGATATGCTTGTTGATTTGGTTGTTTTGTGTTGTTGCTTGAGGCATTGTATCGAAAACTACCACCAACAAGATGGGTTTCTGAGACTGAGGTTTGATTGCTGGTTTCACCATAGAGAGCTTCAAGCTGGCGAAAGAACCTATAGTGTTTACCATCTTGTCTTCCAGCTTTACCTTCCTTAGTCTTCTTGTAGTACTTGTACAGATTTTCAAATTTTTCTCTGCATTTTTTACCACTCCTTTGATACCCATGTTCCTCAGACATTATCCTGGAAAAATGGTTTAAAAATAAATATCAATTTTGAAATAATCCTCGCGTCATGCAAAAAATATAAAAAGTCCAACAAGTCCAATGTGATAATGATACAAATTTCTATTTGCTAACGATACACAATCCCTATGTGCTTCCTCGGTTCAGTAGTTTAAACAAACCAAATTCAGAATGTGACTGTTTATATGTCTAAACAAACTTGGGTCTTCCGGAGAACTGCTTTACTTGTCTATTTAACAATAGAACAAGAAAATGGGTACTTAAGCATCAAAATTGTCACCCATTCTCATAGATAAACAGCAGTAAAAGTGACTTATAAGATGGGCATTGAATAGATTTTTTCCGAATGGAAAGGTCATGCAGTGGACTTAGACATGTGATCAGAAAATTATCAAACACAAAACCAGAAAGAGAAGCAAAGAAGAAAATAACAACTGAATCTTCAACTGAACTTTACAGTACTGTCACTTTCTAACGCAAACTTAGTAAGAAAATGCATAGATTGCTTGAAAAGTGTGGTCCAGAAGTGCAGTGAGATACATACTGAGCACTGATGTTACTCACCAACACAAAGCCAAATATGTACTTCCAAAATATTTAGAAACAAAAGAAAAAAAAAATAAGCAGAAGAGAGAGAGAGAGAGAGAGAGAAAGAGAGAGGGAGGGTGGGGGTGAGATTGACAAGGGGTTTTTTGCCGTTGGCGAATTTGATAGATGTAGATGGTGGTCAAGACTCAAAAAGTTCAACCCAGGTTTTTGGGCATACCCTCCACCACGCCTGAACTCGTTCTTCAAATTATGTTTTTGGGTTTGTGTTTGTGTGTGTAGGGGGTAGGGGATGGGTGTTGTTAGGGGGGGGGGGGGTGTTGGGGTTTAAAGAGACTGAGGGAGAGAACGATGGAAATTGGGATGATCATAAGCTAAGTCGTTAGTCGAATGCCCTCAAGCTCATGGAAAGACTTAAACCCCAGTCTAGGTGCATGACATCCAGAGAGAGAGAGAGAGATTAGAGTTGTGGCATATAAGTATACCTAGAGACTTCATCCCACAAGGGACCCTTTTGATTAGCCTCCTTGAACTTAGAATCAAGCCTTGATCTGATCTCAAGAAGAGTAAGAGTCTCTTGCCGGGGCCATCTTCCAGTTCCGCCATCACCACCAAGGCCTCCTATCTCCATCTCTAACCCACTCAGACTAGCAGTGGAAGTAGCACCCGTGGCACTAGTAGTACTAGTACTGCCTATAGCGGTTGAATCAGAACGAAACTCATGCAGCCCACGAGGCACAACTATGTCACTTACCTGACGACCCACCATCACCATCTCATAGTGCTGCGCTTGTGTGAGACTCCGGTGGCCTGATAATAGGTCTGCCGGTGGTTGGATTGCCGGAAAAAGTGGCCTCCCGTTCATGTACTGCCTCAGATCTTCCATTCCATATTGGTCCTCCATTTTCCTTTACTTGTATCAAAGGAGTGAACCGGGAGAGTGAGCTTAGAGAGAAAGAGGATGATAGGAGAGAGAGAGATGGGGGAGCAGCGGTGAAAGGAGCGGCAGACCCGGATCGTGTCCAAAAAGTTTGAATTTATGTAGAGGACAATGGACCCATCTCCTTCCTTCGACTATCATGTACCCTATATCATCAAGACTCTATCTTTCTCTCCTTAGAAAGCGAGAGAGAGAGAGATGAACATACAATCTATAGACCAATGAAAGAGCGACAAATGTCAAAGGGTTATAAGATGAATAGAGGACGGACTAGTAGTGCCTAATTGCTTGCTTTGCTTACGGTTCTACAGTGCCTAGGATCCGGCCTTTTTTGACTCTCTCTCTCGCAGTTTCTCTCTCTCTCTCACACACACACACACACAAACCACAACAGGAACACTCTCTCTCCTCCTCTCTTTGTCTGAGTCTTAGTACCCAGCTTGTAACATGGCGTCTGTAGAGGAATTGAATACAACATATTCTTCCTTCTTAATATCATCCTGGCCTCTTAGACGCCTGTATGCCTGGCCTCAAAACAGCAACCAATATTTATGTAGACCAACAAGTAGGTTACAAAATTGATTATATTGGGAAAACAAGCAAATTATTTTGGTAAAGTGGTTTTATCTTTGCATTATGATGTACCTTTCCTTCGCTTTTAGTTTGAAACGGTTCTTTCTCGACTTTTTGGTTGAGATAAAGTATAGTATCTATTCTTATTAGCTTAATATTATATACATGATCCAATGAACCACACCATATTAAATTACTTTTTTTTAGGGAGAGGGGGCCACTACAGTAGCTTGCTATTGGGCCTCCTCGAGTGTAGCCTCGGCGTTGCACCAAAGCAGCCCACGTAAAAAACCAAAAAAAAAAAAACAAAATTAAAAATGCTCTTTAATATTTATTATATTTCAATTCTTCAACATTTCATATCAAGAAAAAAATGGTGTAATATTTCTTCAAATAATTGTCGGAAACACACATGAGAATCAAAAATCAATCTCACGTGGAATATGCCCAACTTATTTGGTTATATGATTCTAAAAATTAATTTTTGGTATTTTTTGTGCAACACAACTTATTTGATTACTAGTTATTGTCTGTGTCTGAAGGCACAAAGTAATAAAAAATGATAAATAATAAACATATTTGTATTATATCCAAAATCAAATCACAAATATAGAGGAGAGATAAATAAATTTAATTATTGATTATAGTGGGGGTAAGAGGTGGTGAGCGACAGTAGTGGTGCTAGGACACGATGATGGTTGTGAGTGGCAATGACCGTGTTGGTGGTGGGGTGGCAATGACCGTGTTGGTGGCGGTGGCGACAGTGGTGGTTGTGGCGGTGGCAGTGGTGGTGACGGCGATGACAGGAGTGGTGGTGGGGGTGGCGGCGACAGCGATAACTACAACGGTGGTGATAGTGGTGGCGGCGACGACAGTAGTGGTACAGGAAGTGGCAGTGGTGGTGACGGCGATGACAGGAGTGGTGGTGGGGGTGGCGGCGACGGCGATAACGACAACAGTGGTGATAGTGGTGGCGGCGACGACAGTGGTGGTACAGGAAGTGGTGGTGGTGGTAGTGGTGGTGATAGAGGTAGTGATGAGACGGTTTCAAACACTATTTTTTTTAAAGTGCTTATGAGAAATAATTTATAAAAATATTTTTAAAAAGTTACTCCAAACACATTCTTAGGGTTTTATTTTTTCTATTAAATTTTGGGTGTTAATTTTAACCGTTAGATTAACTTTAAAGTAAAATTTAAAGCGATCTGAACCGCAAAAAGTAAAAGTCATTTTGTTTGTCTTTTGAAATTTGAATTGTAAGCTACTTTATTATATATATATGATTCTAAAAATAATTATATAGAATATAAAATTTTAAAACTTGTTTGGATAGTAATCCATAAAATAATGAAAACAAAAATGTGATTGTGGTGGAGGTGTAGTGGATGAGGTGGTGGGGTGGTTGTGGAAGTATGGTGGTGGTGGTGGTGGAAGTGTGCTGGTGGTGGTAGAAGTGTTCTGGTGATGGTGGTGGTGAAAGAGCGGTGGTGGTGATGTTTTCTAAATTCTGAAAATATTGTTTCAAAAAAATACAAAATCAGTTCTAACTTGTTCTCTAAATCTACACAGTTTTTGTTTTTCAGTTTTTAAAGAACAAAAATAAAAAACAACTGGTAAACAATTTTTCTTCCATAAATTATTTCTGAAAAACAAAAAATAGTATTTGAAATGAAAATCAAACAACACCCAAGTCTTTGGATTCACTAAATATGAGCTCAAATTCTAACTGTGGTTTCAGAACTTACACATGCTGAAGGATTTGATTGAGATTAAATGTAACTAATATGTTACATCAGTCAAATAAGCACCCCAAAAAAAATGATAAAAATGCATGGAAAATTTATGACCATAGAATAGTTAAAATTCATTTCACTTGGATGCTTACTTAACCATACTAATCATGTGTTTGTTACTGCAGTTGTTTGATTCATGCACATTTAGTAATAGGGTTTATGAAACTGTCATTCTTGTTTGTATAACTTAGATAGGTGAGATCATATTCACATTCCAAAACAGGATAAAGGGCCCATCTTTTGCTATACTGGTCGAATTACAATCGACCAAAATTTAGTGCATGATTTTAGCTTTTGATTACTTTTGTTTCATAAAATAAATGTTGTGCCTAGAATGCATATGCATGCTGTATCGAGAAAGTGTAAACAAGCCCAAAAACTGTTGAGGTCTAAATGTATAATGAAAAGGGTGTAATGTATTTAGTGGTTCTCTCCATTTGACAAACATTTAGCTATACAAGATAGTGCTCAACACCAACTTCTCAACGTTTATGTCCAACAAAAAAAAACACTCTTTATACTACACTTCTTTTGGATTTTCCTCATTAATCGACTGCATATCGTTTCTTTTTTTAAAAAAAGGGAGAAAATATAATTAAATTTTTTTTTTCAATCATAAAAATTTTTAGAGTAAAGAAGATAGTTATACTTTTTCCCCTAATTCTAGATCAAACATGGTATACACATAGACTTTTTCATTCAGAATTTGGATGATACATACTAACTATCTAAACTGATTAAACACAATCAACAAACATTTTTTTTTTTTTTTTTGAAAAAAGTCACAATCACCAAACTTGAGGGAAGGAATTGGGAAAATAATAATTTTAAAGATGAAAAAGTAAAAAAACAAGTGATTAAAAAAACATTGAATTTTTTTTTTTTTGTTTGACAATAACTTGGTAGTGCCACATATGAACACTGGACCCTCTTCATCTTCTGTCAGATTTTCAGAATACAATACAAAAAGCAGGCAGGCCATGTGCTTACAAGCAACCCCTGACACTGTGTCTATTTGTACCACAAACCACCTTTTTCCATCCAACACGGCTACTGGTACATTCGTGTCATTTTCTGCTTTTAATTTTCTTGCTCCTGTCCTCTATCCATCTATATATAATTGGGTTCCATCATCCTTTGCTTCTATTTTTTATGAAAATATTTTTTAAGGAAATTGCTGTGAACTAATTATCAAAAGCAAGACAACAGCTTCTTGTTTTTTTTTTTTTTTTTTTTTTTTTTTTTAATAACAAAAAAAAAAGGGACCCAATTGCTCTTTTTTCCGGATAATGGATATTCTATAAATTTAGAATGTATACAATAATTTTGTAATCATACCCATTGGATCAAACTAAACGTTTTTTATGAGACTCAAGAAAATTAGACACGAAACTGTTATCATATGAATTATCTTGATTTTATGGTATATGTCAAGATACATGTGATTCTCCTTCTTGTGTTGACCAACATGAAAGTTTAAATAATTCTGATAATTTTGAGTGATGTAAGTAATGATTCAATCAATAATGTAAGCAGTGATATAAGCTTAAATTTAAAATAGGTTAAATAAATCTTGAAATTTAACTGCTGAGGTCTTAGGGTCCCTTGAGAGGCATAACCAAGAAATATACTTCCTTTTGTGTAGTATTATCTAGTATTTTCAGTTCACTTTTTTTTTTTTTAAAGTATTTTCTTCCTTGTTCTCCCATTGTTGTGTTGTATGTATATAGTGGAGTAAGATATCAATTCAATTGTGATTTTGCTTTTTTCTTAAAAGATTTTTTTTCACCAAAAAAAAAAAACTTTTAAGAAAATTAGGATTCTATGCTTTGGAAATTGGCTATTTTTTGATTAGACATAGTTATTATAGTTTGGATAAAACACGTCTATTCACCCCCCCATATGGGTTATGTCTAACATCTAATGTGTACAATCATGAGGAATCAATCCAATGTAAATAACTTGGTTTGATTCTTTTTTTTCATTCCAGTGATAATCGCCCTCCCACCATGCTATCGGTGCTTCCCAAACCACTTTTCAAAGTGTTGTTCAAGACAATTGAACTCAAGTGGAATTAACATAGCTTAAAATTGAGATGAAAAAATAAGAGTAATAAGAATAAGAGTTCATCCTACATGTTCGGCATAGGGTCGAGTCCCATTGAGTAGGGGGTCTAAAAAGATTTTCATTTCATCCCCATATCGCTTGTCATGAACTCAAATGGAATGTTGATTTTATTTCTCAAGGAATATGTCCTTAAATTAGCTTGGTACCGGTTAAAGAGTTCAAAAGAGTAATCGGTGCAAATCTAAGCACATGTAACAATACAAATCAGCCTTGTATGTATCACTTCATCTACTTATTTATATAAGTGATCCATTATCGAAAAATAGTAACATAAAACATATTAAAAAAAGTATGGATTTACTTTGGTAGGTACTCTCTCTAGTCACTATGGCTTATGTTGGCGGAAAACTAACCAACAACAAAACAAACAATGTGAAATGCAGGATGAAACTTTGACTAATGTTATTTGTATCCGACTGGGTATAAACGTCACATTGATAACGAACTTCATTTAATTTTCAATCGCATTACCGAATGTAAAGGTTATAATGCATTAAACTCCCCTAATTTGATCCCAATAGCATTACTCTATAACTGAATTGAATGTGAAAATCATCTAAACA